TTACACCATATCACAGACGCTGATAACACGTAGGGCCATGCATCTCAGATTTAACATTGTTAAACGATGCCTTTAAATGGAATGTCTATTTCTGCCCCAACAGAAAAGGGGGTGAGCAAATGCTAAGATGTCCCCCCCCCCCCCTCCTCTCCGTCCCCGTCCTTACTTGGTTTACTTGGTCTCGTATTTTACGGGCATTAAAATTGTTGGATTATTATCAGTTTGAATATAAATGTAAGAAAAAATGTTCCTGCAAGTTATAAGGAAATATATCACGTTTAAAGAGGCAACATTGAGATTTCTTTCAAAAAGAAAAATTTGAACTTTATTTATACTCCAGTATAAACAACGCTTAAATCGTAGTTATCACTAATATCATAACTTCAAGAACAACCTAACCTAATTATCTTTTGATCTGATATTTCACGAGTTAGTCATATACTTTCAAAAGTAAATCTGAATAACAATGGTTAGATCAGAAGGGGGCTTGAAACTTGTTGGATCGGCTCCAAGCATATAACAAAGTATAGTCAAGGCTAGTCTGCAATCACAAATTATCATTCTCATTTGAAACTTAAACACCATTCATAAAGTCTTGAGCAGAGCCTAGCTCAGTCAGTCACTAGCTGTGACAGTTTTAATAAACCATAGCCTATGAAGGAGGCTGTGGCTGCAGTCAGCATAGTCTCATAGTGCAGACACTGTAATGCACGAATGACAAGGGTCTGTTACTGCAAACTAGGCTAAACTGATATTTCCTTCAAGGATAATCAATGATAATCTCGAGCAAGTCAAACAGCGTTATCCATGGATTGGATAATCCTATGGATACGATTTTAGGGGGATGATGGGGGCGGATAGGGGCAGACCCCAATGTCCTTGCTCTGATCTCATGTATCAACAAAAAATAGGCCCCTGAGTTCCTAACTATAGATTTTTAATTTTGTTTTTCTTCCTCGAGATGTCGCCAAAAAGCAATCCGCATGATTAAGTCGAATAATGAAAGCTTAATCGGTCATGGTTTTTACTAATCCTTCATGGAGGGGAGGGAGAAATATATTAAAGAGAACTTGGGGATAATCTTAATCAGAACCTTGAGATCTGTCTTGACTTCTCACAAGGACTGCTCTATTAAATCGCAATTATTCAAGATTAAGATTTATTTGATGATAAAGATAATCAAAATCAATCAAATTTCCCCTTTCTAATTTGCTTTTTTTCTCCCGTTGTCTTTGATTATTACCCTATAGTCAATGGTAACGTCTTTTTTGTGTGTTTTGTATCTTTCCCTGACCACGCGCCACAGTCATTTAACTTCCTGTAATGATATAACGCTTTATATTATATTCATCATTATCATTATCATTTATCATAATCATTATCATTTTTGTCAGAATACAAAAATAGTTTTAAAAAAGATTACACGTTTTAAAGAAAAAATACAAATGAGTTATATTGAAAGGTAGAAAAGAACAAATTTAGAAATGAATAAATTATGACCTTTTAGTATGCTCCCCAAGCTGCTTAGAGGGGTCAAAACAGATCAGCTATACCCTTAACACCATACTTCATGACGTAATCATATTAACTGTTTTTTAATTTATCACCAAATTGATACAAAAATGGCATATATAGTCTTAATTTGCATATGATTCTAATACTGATAGCAGATGAAAATAAGCAAAACTTATGTTATACATTGTATGTAGACGTTTAATTATTGAAAATGACTAGTTGATCTATAAATCAAAACTCGCTATCAAAATCATTAATTCATAATAATCATGTAGGATTCGTATGAGTTTATTGACAGGTGCACATTGTATGTTAAATAGTATTGAAACTTAAACGAGCAAATTCATCGGTGTCATTGTGGTCTGTTAGTCTGCTGTATGTTATATAATGTGACATTTAATATTAAGAAACCACATTCATAGCATCTGCTCTATTCGAGGTAATTAAAACGGAAATGTCTAATTATATGATGTCTGTCGCTTATTACAGTTTGTGCTTATATAATACAATAAAAATGATGATGATGATGAATATGATGATTATAATAATAATAATAATGATAATAATAGTAGTATCAATACAAATTAAAATTATAATGATAGTAACGATGATGATGATAATAATAATTATAATAATAATAAATATTATTACTATTTTAATAGCAGTAATAGGCCTAATAGTAGTATTAAAAATCATAATAATAATAAAACTAATAGTATTTTGTAGTTCCTTTTGAGGTCACCTATTCGTTAATTTAATTACTAATTATTCTTAAGCATCATTTGAGGGGTCCACAATTGTACAATCATTGCTTTTTAGTGGCCCCCTCTTTTTCCAATATTTATTCCTAAATAATTGTGTTGTAAATTATTATAATTGATTGTAAATTCTTGTTGGAAACAGAAATAAATTGAATTGAAAAAATGAATTGAATAATAATAATAATTTGTTTAAATATTACTACAACTACTACTACTACTGCTACTAAAAATAATAATAATAATAATAATGGTGGTGATGATGATGATGATAGCTGATGATGATGATGATGATGATGATGATGATGATGATGATGTTGAGGAAGAAGAAGGTGATAATAATTTATATATGATTAGATTGACGGCATTCCATCCTGAAAATATTACATGTACATTGCGAATCCTCCCTAAGGCACTTCACCGTGTTGGCTGATACACGAATCGTAAGGGTGGTGAGAAATATGAACACATATCATTTTGTGTGATCAATACAGGCTAGTTAACAGGTGTTCCTTTCTAATTTTGGAACAATGGAAGGGAAATACAAGTTAAGTTCAAGATACTTGTCTGTCAGAATGTACAGGACTATACTAATTTACAGTGACAGACGTATTACATAACATCTTACATAATGAAACATAACTGTAGTTTTATAGTGTCTTATAAAACGCTTAAGCATAGGGAAAACCCGAGTCTATCACGATTTTTTTTTTCTCAACATAATTTGATTTTAAAAGTATATAAATACACGTAGAGAGAGAGAGAGAGAGAGAGAAAGAGAAAGAGAGAGGGAGAGAGAGAAAAAGACACAGAGAGAAAGAGAGAAAGTGAGAGTGAGAGAGGGGGAATAGAGAGAGGGGGAGAGAGATAGAGTGGAAACTGGAAAGAGAGAGGGGAAGGAGGGAAGAAAGGGAAGAAAGGGGAAAGAGAGACTGTGGAAAGAGAGAGGGAAGGGAGAGAGAGTGAGAGAGAAAGAGAGAGAGAGAGAGAGAGAGAGAAGAGAGAGAGAGAGAAAAAAAAAGAGAAGAAAGAGGGGAAGAGGGGGCGCGGGTTCTAAATGGTTGCGCATGACTGTATCAGGTTTAGTGTTTATCTTATACAGGTGTATCCGTTTGTTACAGCATGACGTCACACTTGGCAGCATATCTTCAGATTAACATGATTCAAGGAGCTTAATCATTTTTAATCTTTGTGTCAATCACGTAAAACTTCCCAAAATAATTGTAACATGTCGTATCCAACTATTATAACCTTTTTCCAAGTTTCAGTTTGCGCCGTCTAGCTCTGTGCAATATTAGTATACTACCATGGCCTGTGTATTCATAAAACCAATGATTTCGTGTGCTTTTTACAATGTAAAACGTAAATTGTGAAACAATTCTTTACACTAACTAATCTCTAAAATACCTGGGCCCTGTCTTATTTGTTCAATTTCAATTTCAATTTATTTACGTTTCCAACAAAATATTACAAATCAATTATAAACGTTTACAACAAATTTATGTAGAAATACATATTGGAAATAGAGGGGTTCACTAAAAAGCAGTTGACCCCCCAAATGATACTTAGGAATAATAAGTAATTAAATGAACAAGTCCGTAAAGAGTTGCGATTGATACAAATCAATCGCAGTTCCCTTAACCAATCGCAAGTTTGCACTTTCCTATCTCCTTTGTACATACATTTGACCAATCAGAGGCCTGGAAAATGGTCGGTGACAATACAATTGTCGGTGAAAATGATATTAGTCGGTGAAAACAACCGACTAATTGTTTCATGACGCCCCCCCCCCTGATCTTTAATTCCCAGGAGGTGGGACCGTAATGTTCGTTATCATGGACTACACTGAACTGGACGTTTGTTGTCTCATAATAATCCGGACGTCTTCCCGGGTCATTGCTAGGTAGGTCATTGTAAACGTGCCTGGGGGACAGTTGCCGTCATTATGAAACAACTGCCAAGTTACTGTGCAATTATCGACATCGTAAAATTAATTTGTTTTATTTTCCGCTCAGGATTAATGACAAATAGTCGCTCATCTTCTGGACTGTTTCTTCCGCAAATAAGGAGATAAACAGTAGGAGGACTATGGTATAGTGAAAGCAAGTTGTGAGAGGTCCAGGGTTTGATATTGCTTTGCACTCAGTACCATTATCAGAAAAATATAGATACAGGAAACTATTTGAAGCATATAACATGTATAACAAGAATCATTGCTTTCAAGTCATACAAGACAACGGTAGGTAGAGCTATAATGAATTATTCAATTCATTTGTTTTATTTATTAAATTCGTTTTTTTTAAATAAATAATTCAATTCATTTTTCTTCTTCAATTCAATTCGTTAAAAAAATGTACTTTTGCATATAACATATTATTATATATATAATATGGATCTTGTAATACGAAAAATGAAAAAGTCGATTCAGAATGTAAATCATTTAGGACGGCATGTCCCAACAACATTAATGGTGTTATGTTATCTAGAAATATCGTGCCACAATAATATAGATGCATGGGTGTACGAATTGAATTAGGGTGACTGAGGTGTCTAGGACTACATCACCCATGACCTTCGTGAGGAAATCATGCAACAAACGCATGCAAAAACAAGGAAGACATACAAAGAATACAGAGGATCAAACAAGTTTCTCATTACAAACCAGTTCATTATAATCATGGAGTCTGCACTTCGCAAGGCATTAATGAAGCCAAAATGGTAACTTACCACTCCTCCCGTCTCCGAGTGCGCCATGTTGTTGTCAATGTCACCGGCAGGGGTTGCATAGATATCCATATCCATACCACTCGTTATATTGTTCTCTCATACATGCAATATTACGGCTCCAAGAGTCAGCCAGGGAAACAAGGGTAATCGTTGCCCCCTCACCCGAATTCACCTATTGGGGGTCGCACTTCCGAAAAAGTGTTGTCCATTAATCTCAAGGGATTTTGATGAATAATCGATGCTGTCATTCAAGCGGTATACCTTCGAAGTTCAATGCAGGCCTCACAAGAATAAAATATAGGCCTACATTTGGATTTCCTTGGAAGTGTCTCTTGTTTTTAGTATAGGACTGGATTTGCTTCGCTCATCCTCTCTGCGTTTTCGATTTATTTTCTCTAAGTTGAGATGGGTAATGTTTCACTGTGCTCTTATTCTGATGAACGGTGATAGTTGCTTCAGGATGGCATCTCAATTAAGATGTGGTCAGATGGCTATCCGATTTTTACGTAATCCTGTCTCCCTCTGGGTTCTCCTTCTAAAAGAAGACACTGTCTTCCGACTATATCCTTGATGTCATCCTTGATGTCACTCGTTAAAAATCATGAACGAGATAGCTCATACTGTCACCCAGCTTGTGAAGGGGTTTTTCACTTTCATATCATTTTCCAATGATGATGATCGTCACTCATTTTCTCTCAAGATTAACAACTGCAGGTTCAAAGCAATACGCGGAGAGCCTCCTGCTTGACAGATGCGAAACAACATCAACAACTACAGTCAGTTCGATCAAGACCCAGTTTTAGATTCACCCTCGTTATGAATAACCCCGTCAATGCCGCCCGCGGAAACTCAAACTCCTTGGAAACAGGAAGGGGTACATACACGTCAGACCTTAGGCAACCATGGCTCACAGACAAGACCCCTTATATTTGGGATTTTTAAAGGCGAATCAAAGTGAATGGTTATTAATTTAAAGTACTCCTTTTAGAAATAAACGGATCGTATATAAGCCATTAAACCCGGTACCTCAATCAGCACGAGTTGATTAGCTAGAATAAGACACAGATTAACCAGCATGTCATGGTGTGGTTGACCAGTCACTATTTGGCAAACATCCTGTCCATTTGAAAGAGATTGGTCAAGTTGGACGAGAGCCTACTTCGGATATGAAAATATTGATGAGCAACACACATAAATGTATTACGGGAAGAAGAAGGCCTTCATTGCTCATAAAAGAGGCCCTGGATACTGAAGCATGTTATATTCCACTAATTCAACCCTAAGTTGACAATAATTCGTCCTTGTTTTCACGAAGTGAGGAAAATCGTAACGCAAAATGAATGCAATTTTTTTTCACTACCGTCACTTCGTGAAAACAGCGACGAATTATTGCATAAATACAAGCGCAATATACTATATATAAATGTTGTCAATGATAGTCACCGGCATCATGACATATTACAGTGCATATAGTTTCTTAGGTTTAGATTATTGAATAACTGAACAAAAAAATAGTGCAATAAAGAAAGGTGTTATATTTGACATTTCCTCCTTCTTTTAGCAGTAACCGACTTTCCCGAACACTATTTTAGTTTTACTCATGTATTTATAAATCTAGTCAGGGTGGTTAGGTGATTCTGGTTATAGTTGTTATACAGCTGTATTGTGAACCTCGATTTCTCGGGGGAAATGCCAGCCAGGAATTTCCTCCATGCTTCGGCTTATTTTTAGACTGAACATATATATATATTAAAGACTTCTTGAGACATTATCCATGCTTGTCAAATAGGTTCTTCAAATATTTTGAAACCAGTGTAGAAATTATCATTCATTTCGGTTAGATTATATTTACAGTATATCTGTTGTGGGGCAGTGCCTGACTATCATCAAAGGTCTTTTAAATTTATGACACCCCCCCCCCCCTTTTTTTTTTTAACCCAAAAGGAAAATGCTTTCACATTGTTTAGAAGCGTTATAAATCTCGGAAAAGAGAAATACAAAAGAAAAAAGAATATCGAAAAGGATGAATGTTTCCCCAATTGGGGTTGGGGTGGGAGACATTTTTAAAATCATCTCGATGTCACTTGCATTGCTCTCCAGATCATTAGAGACTTCGGGAATCTTCTGGAGACTTCGGAGCATCTTCGGTACGTCTTTCTTGTGGGGATGGGCAGCTCAGTGCTCAATCAGAGAGGAGAGTTTTAAAAACGTGGATAAAGAGAATAAACTTAAATATCTTCATCGCTTTTTCGTCGGAAATGAAGGACCCGAGTATGATTAGTGTGTACCACCCAAGTTTTTAAGCAACCCCGTTCAGCTTACCTCCATAAGCATGACTCATCATATCTCATACTTCCTGCCAAGTTGCTATCCTGCAGGCTCAAGAACAAACCTTGGTTGCATGGACATAGTCAAGGGAAAATGGAAACAGAGAATGGGGTGTGAAGGAGAAAGAGAGAAAGCCAGAGAGATCGAGAGAGGTAGAGAAAGGAGATGTTGAGGCCGTGGGGAAAAGCAGCAGAAAGAGATAGATGGGTGGTGAGAGAAAAAGAGAGAGGGAAAGAGATGGTGAGTGAGGGAGAGAGAGAGAGAGAGAGAAAGATAGAGAGGGGGCAAAGGAGATGGTGACGTGGAGGGGGGGGGGCAGATGAAAGAGGCGAAAGTTTATCTCAATGCATGTCAATTTACCCACTTCATTATTTTGTAAATTATGTGAGAAAGAAGAGAGAGAGAGAGAGAGAGAGAGAGAGAGAGGAGAGAGAGAGAGAGAGAGAGAGAGAGAGAGAGGAGAGAGAGGGAGAGAGAGAAAGATGAAGAGAGAGGGGGAGATGAGATGGTAACGGGGGGGGGGGCAGATGAAAGAGGCGAAAGTTTATCTCATTGCATGTCAATTTACCCACTTCATTATTTTGTAAATTATGTGAGAAAGAAGGAGAGAGAGAGAGAGAGAGAGGAGAGAGAGAGAGAGAGAGAGAGAGAGAGAGAGAGAGAGGAGAGAGAGGGAGAGAGAGAAGATGAAGAGAGAGGGGGAGATGAGATGGTAACGGGGGGGGGGGCAGATGAAAGAGGCGAAAGTTTATCTCAATGCATGTCAATTTACTCACTTCATTATTTTGTAAATTAATTCAAATTCAAATTCAAACTGTATTGATTTCAATCCAAACAAATAAATTATGTGAGCAAGAGGGAGATAGATAGATAGATAGAGAGAGAGAGAGAGAGAGAGAGAGAGAGAGAGAGAGAGAGAGAGAGAGAGAGGGGCTGACCCCCTATTGATGCCCCACCCCTAAAGTAATCTATGCGGTGACAATTGAAGAAAAAAACTTTGTTTTTAAATGTTTTTGAAAATACTATTTTCACAAGCGATGGTTTGCCATTCAAGTAGGTAAAACGTCAACACATTCATTGTATTTGAATTACCCCTGGTCATCTTATTAACATTTAATCTCATTTGATATCATGCATAAAAGTTACTTAACCAGTTAATTGATTTTGTGCTCCTGTACTTTAAAAAAAAAAAATTTGTTGTTGCTAGTGTTTTGTAAAACAAAACAACCTATTATCAATGTACCACGTGAATAAAGTTTCTTAAAGGTACTATGTCCCATTTGCAGGCCCAAAAATGAAAATGTTAAATTCCAACGGCATTTGAAAAATAATACAAATTTAGAACTTGCCTAAAAGAAAGGGGGGCTTGAAAGTGTCTTTAAGTGGGAAAATACTGACTATTAGTTGTCAAATCGACTTAAGAGCTTTAGAGCCAGTAAGTATTGGTCTTATTTTCAGACTAATGTACCGTATAGTCGTACGTTTTATGCTGCGCAAAGATTCAATCAGTTTAATTTTGGCCATTACAAGAAGTGGGTTATTGATGTAGACAAATGCTCATTTACCCTTTACAGCTCATTTTAATACCAAAGAAGAAGAAAAAGCCAGCCAGTCACTCAATAGTGTCTGACAGTGAAGTCTAGCAAGTAAACGGGTTTCCTTGCATAATGTTAATATTAGGACACTGCTAACGTTTAAGTTTCACAGATAGGACATACATGACATATTCATAATTCCTGCAAAGTTCTACAGAATTTGATGTTGGCTGCAAAAGGGACATAGTATCTTTAACAAATTTATACAAAATACATAACTGATGTTAGATATTATCGCAGACTTTTAAAAAACGGAGTAAAATAAACCCTTTGAAATTTATTCGTTTAAATCATTAATTAATGAAGTCTGCATTATGCCAGAGAAAGGGGTCGGGGACTCTTTTCTCATCTCCGTTGCAATTTGTCACACTAATATTCTATTTCGCCTTTTACTGGAACACGTATAGCGCCATCTCGTGAAACATGAAGGTTTAGTCACTATCCTCTACACTGACCGTCTGCAACAGTACTGTTCAATAAGGTCGAACCAGGGAGATATCACATCTCCCTAATCGAACTATATATATATATATATATATATATATATATACATCGAAGAGCAACTTTCACTGACAAATAGATACATTTTCTACTATTAATTCGCATGAAGATTAGATTTTCGTTGGATTGAATAGATGTTTCCTCTTCCTGTTATTAAAAGTATAATATATTGTCATAATATTTATAAATAGGTCATATTTTGTTTCCTAGCTGTATAACATACCATATTATTGTGACGTCCAGGAAGAGAGTGGTGGAGGGGGTGGGAGGGATGGAAGGAGGGAGGGAGGGAGAGAGAGAGAGAGAGAGAGAGAGACGGGGGAATAGTAGATGAAGTGTATGTCATTGAACGAATAAAAACAGAATAGCAGACCTTCATGTATATATTATGTAGTTATCATGTCGATAATTAAATCCAAACTTGGTATTTTCAACACTTCCAAGAAGCGCTCTCTGTCGTTGGTAAACTTGAATTTCATGATCTTAATTTCATGTTACACTATATACAAGGTTTCTTTTGTTGTTGTTGCTTAAGTCAGCATATTTTACCAAAGTCGACCATCAAGCATTATGATAATTGCAATTTGTGTAGGCTAAATCAGTCACAGAGTGGATATTAAATCAGCTGTTTTTATTGTATCCGTATCATGGGCGTTTCCAGAAGTTCATTCACCTTTTATTTATTTTCCCCCAGCGATCGACTCATCAGAAAAGATATTAACCGGTTTCGTCGAATAGGCAAACTGCGCATGCGTTTACTGTCTGGTCATCATGGCGGCCACCATGTACAGGGGAAGAAGTCTGAGACGTTCAAAAGGTAAGTTAAATTCATCCTTATATGAGACTTTGCCATCCTGAATGTTGGATAAAGGACTAATGAATGTGTCTACCTTTGTTCTTTTTCATTTCAGGCCGCCATGATAGTGGAGATACGGATGTACCATTGGATTTAAGCAAAGGTAAGTCTCTGAAAACTGATTTGGTTCGCGAGCTACCGGTGTCGACTAGACTCGGTGTGTATCGCAATGATGTCTGAGCTCGCTAAATAATACACTGCTGTCTATGATCATGTAGCCTATGTAGCGGCTGCATGAATGGATTGTTGTTGGTAATGCCAATGGTAGCACAACTGACCAAGCATGCACAATCATATTTTTGTCGACCATCATGACCATGTTTTCTTACCTCTGTTATTGAGTGTTGCACGCTTTTCAGATATTTGTGCCAATATCAAATTTGTCAATTTTGCATGTTAGAATTCTGCTGTTACTTTGTTGTATTAATTTTTACTTTTAACAATAATTG